AAAAATATTCCTGTTAAGGAACTAACCTCTTTGGAAAGGGCCGAGCAAAGACCAAGACTTCAAAGAGGCTCGAAATTTTTCTATGTACAAAAAAGAAGACTCAGATTTTCTCAAAACATTAGCACGAACTACAGAAATTGAAAGGTCAAAGAGTGTTTTGCATTTATACTTCAAAAATTTTCTACAAAGTCATGATCATTTAATAGGTACATTAGAAGTTGCAGATACATCTGAAATTTCAAAACAGATACATTGAAAATTTTAAAGCATCCAAAAAGGTCTGCTTGGTGTCTGAAGGAGCAAGAGTATGAGAGGAGCTCGGAGCCGCATGCTTTGAATAAAGTTCGGAAGAAGGATCCACCTTGGCAGCAGTCAAAGTAGCCTGCCAGCCTCTGTTGAAGAACGCCTCTTGAAGCTGACGGATCTGCAGAGCTAAGTCTTCCTTGGCTTTTTCATACCTTCATTATATGCGGCATCCTTTTTCTCAGTCGCCCAGACTTAAATTGATCAAATTCTTCAAGAAGTGTAGAGTAGTCAAGCTGAGACTGAGTGAGCTCCACATTAATTTCATGCTCGGACTCCTTTAGATTCCTCACCTCTTCTTGGAGCTTCTGGTTCTCTTCAACTAGGCTTTGACTTTGAGTCTGCAGAACCTTCACCTCCTTGCAAAGCTTTTCATATTCTTCATCAACACTCTCTTTTTTGGCCAAGGCCGAGGCCTGGGTATGAATAACGTCCTTCATTATTTTATCCTTGCGAGCAATCCGTGCTCCGACCGCATGAACCTTTTGCAGACCTTTGAAGAAGAAGGAAATGACTTAGAAAAATCATTCTAAAGCCAAAAAAAACTGAAATAAGTGTTAGATACAAGACTTACCAAGACCATATGTTGAATGGCTTGGCGAGACATCTCGTCGTCAATAAGGGCCTCGTTCATAGCCAAGTCCCAAGGCAAAATCACACCCCAGGAAATTCCTAATGCGACGTTAAAATCCTCGATTGCAAAATCCTTCGCAGTAATTTCTCTTCTTTTCGCCTTAAGGATTGGTCTGAAAGGAGGAGTCACAGGTTGGGGGGAGAGATTGGCTTCGGCCTCGGCTATCCTTCTCTTCTTTTTGGGAGCTAGATCTTCGGGAAGTTCAAAAAGAGAATCATCTTGTGGAGAAGGGGAATGAACAGTATCAGAAGGGCCTAACTCGACAGGAATTGAAGTTTTAATAGTCTGAATTGCATTTGGTGGTTCAATGGTCGGCGGATCAGTGTTATCAGGCAGAGAAGTTTCAACTAGGGCTACACAAATGAGTTCTTCAAGAACGGATGTCGGGACTTCGGGAATGTTTGGAGTTGGTTCAGTAGAAGGAGTAGGTTCGACATTTGATAAAAAATCAAGGAAATTCTTTACCGACTTGCGCCCAGTTGCAACAAGAGACGATTTCTTCTTGGCTCGTGGGGTCTGAGCCCGAGCAGACTGGATCTTTTCTCGATTTGCAGCCAAAGTGGCATTGGGGCGGTTCGGCACAACAATGAAAGAAGTGTAGGTTGGAGTGTATCTGAACAGCGTGTGGGCAGCTCGGCAGAATAGACTCTCATTGAAGTTCCAGACTTTTTGAAGTTGGTCCATCTTGACTGAGGACTCGACGATCCTCCCCTTCACAGTTTCACCTATGCACAAGAAAACCCAAGTCAGAAAAACAGAAAATCGAAGCTAACACAGAAGGGTAGAAGACATCAAATACCTGGCATGCCCTCTTTACATGGACAACGATAAGAAGGAACAACACCAATAGCATACTCCCAGTTCCCAAAGACAAATACTATGTCATTCTCATGACCTTTGTTGGAATCTGGGAGATGGGTGACTAAGTAGCGATCCTTTTTTCTCACAGATAGATAAAAACTATCCTCTACTGCTTTGATAATGTAGCAGTATAGGATCTCCCACAGCCCAAGACTCAAGTTCAGAATCTTGTTCAAAGAAGATACCCCCATGATAATCCTGAAAAGTTCAGACAGCACTGAAGGGGGCAGAGCTTCACAGCAGAGAGTACCCAGATCAGAAGGGGATCAAGAAGGAACCGCACGCCTCCCTCAGTGATAGCTCGAGTAAGAATGGGGATTGATTCCCTCGTGCTTATTAAGGGCTCGTCTTTCCCAGCAACCCTTACTTCTACGTTATTAAGAATATTATATTTGATTTTGAAGGCGGGAACCTTTGAAGGAGTAAGAAGAGCTATTGAATAAGAGATGATGCAAACTTGAGGAAGACAAAACACAAAAGAGAGAATAGGAGTATGAAAGCAGAAAGCAGAAAGCGAAGTGAATAAAATGCGGAGAGAGAGACAGTTTATGAAGAGGAAGGAATTTCAAAAGGCAATATTTAAATGCCCTGAATAAGCTGCCAAAAACAAAGGGGGATGTCATGAAGTACAAGTAATGATGATTTAAGGGAAAGAAAATGGCAAACAGACGAAAATCGACTGTTAGACGATTTCTGGGGGCAAATGAAGGGGTTGACCCTCATGATGACACGTGTTAGAGCATTAAATAAGCGCGTGTGAGAATGACAAGACTAGTCACGTGACGAAGAAGTCATTCACCTGGTCTTGTGATCCGAGCCAAAGTGATCAAAGGATTCGACAAATAAAGAAAGAACTCGGCCCTCTTCATTACCGAGCTCATGAATCTAGTAGCTTAGCAAGGGAAGTGCTCGGCTTGTACCAAGCCAAGTTCCCTAGAGTGTTCGGGAAAGCAATTGAAAAGATTGGTTTGTGCCAAACCAAGTCTTTAACCGTTCGACAAATACAAAGTGTGCTCGACACTCAATACGTCCGAGCAGTTCAAAACGATAGATGGAAAGATAAATAGTCGCCTAAAATCCAGGCAATCAGATAAACAAAATCGAGGAGATTGAAAATATCAAGAGAAATTATTGGAGAAGTATCTATAACTTCTCAAACTCAACTACAGAATGAAAAGAAGGTGTGTCACCTTGAACCTAATATCGTGGAAACCCTAAGGGGATAATGATCTATAAAAAGCAGAAAAGACCAAAGTGAAAGGTACGCTGAATTCTCCCGGTCTTCTTCCATTCGTTTGAGTATCTCTACTGACTTAAACATCGGAGTGCCTTCGATCGAAACGCTTCGATTTTGGACAATTTATTCGTTTTGTAGGAAGAGGAAGGTTGGGAGATTAGGTTCAGAATTATTCATCACCAGAAATATCCAATCCAATTTCCAGTAGGAGGTATCATCAATTTTCACCTCCCCTAAGAGGATAATGATCTATAAAAAGCAGAAGAGACTAAGGTGAAAGGTATACTGAACTCTTCCGGTCTTCTTCCATTTGTTTGAGTACCTCTACTGTCTTAAGTATCGGAGTGTCTTCGATCGAAGCACTTCGATCTTGGACAGTTTGTTCATTTTGTAGGAAGAGGAAAATTGAGAGATCAGGTTCATAATTATTCATCACCAGAAATATCCAATCCAATTTCCAGTAGGAGGTATTGTCAATTTTTACCTCTTACAGTAATATAGTCAAGTTTAAGCAACGATTCTATCTCAGCATCATTATTTAGTTGAGCCTGAAGCCAACCGAACCTAAACCCTATCAAAAACTCAAAAAACTTAACTCAATCAACACCCTTAATCAGTTAAGCATACCAAAAAATACTCTAAATCTTTGGAAGAGCCAATTAATAAGCACAAGGGCAGTAAAAGCTATCATGAAAACCAGGATGTATGTAGTAGTATCAAACAAGGTGTGAAAGCCGATGTTCTTCTTTAACAATTCAATGCAGAAGATGGAGAATCAGTAAGTAAGAACGACAATGTGGAGACAGTTTCAAAGCTTAAATAGGTAAAAGACGTGGAATGATTAATGATCATATTCTCTAAAAATACCATAGAAGGAAATTGTTTCATGAGATTGGCTTCTTTCTGAGATGTCTCTATCTGTGTCAAATATCACATTCCTTTAGAAGGGCAGCTTTTATCATAAAGGAAATATACTAATTCTATGCTATAAATCACTGCAACCCACAACCATTTTAGTTGTCCATATTTAGTTAAATTGCCTATAATTTGATTTTGGTAAAAAAAAAAATGTCATGTCATATTTAAATTATATCATATTTATGTCATATTTATGTATATTGAAAATCATAAAAAAAAAAAAAAAGAAGCACCTGGTTAGAGTCGGGATATGAAAAATGTATCGCTTATGAATATCATAGTCTCGGCGTGAATGACATACATTTGACCGAACTGAGAAGGAGATTAATTGAGATACGCGTAAATTAGTTTGAATGCTCTTAACTGTCAAACCAAAAAAATAAAAATATATATACATATATATAGACACTCACAAATATATCTCTTTCCATTTCAATCAAATTTATCCTATATTAATTGAAAATCGACTCCAGTCAAATTCTAATTTAAGATAAAGAACTATTTAATTTTCGAAATATCTGTATAAAACTAGATTAATTAATGAAAAAGGATGTTCCTATCTGTAAACCCCTTCTTTTGCTGTTTGCATAGCCAAATTCTCCACGCGCTTGTGGATGTAGGAACAATAAATGCCTAAGTATTTTCAAATTACAAACCATCTGAGTCTCAAATGATCTTAATTCTATGCCCACCTTAACTAGTCTAAAATGCGAAAAGTGCAGTAGTACGATTGGAGCGTGTTGGTAAGCACTAATAAGCGCGTGAGTCAAGGTCGCTCTTTTTCCAATTCAGGTATTTAGTTCAACTCTCACTACACTAAATACATGGGCACCTACACCACTTTGGAATTACAAGGACAAATGCATGGAAATCCTCCAAATCTTGTACTTGCGACCCATTAAGACCTTACTCCAAAGCCAAAAGATTCAAATTCATAGAATACATTCCAATGATCTTCTATAAAAATGGAGAGAGAATTCCAAACCAGAGTGTAATGGATGTTGTTTGATCTATTCCAGGTTTAACTGATCTTCACTGAGAAATATAATGGAAGAAAACCCATCGCCGGTTTCATGTAAACATTTGACCCACGAGGCAGCAAGAGCCAGACCCGCCGGAAAGAAGAGCCACCGGCAGTACCCAGTGGACGATGACGCCGGAGATCTGATCAAGTGCTCCGGAGAGAGTTGCCAAACATGCACCGCCGAGTTGATCGCCGACTGCGTGGCTGTTTGTTGCTGTCCCTGCGCTGTTGTCAACTTTCTGGCGCTTGCGCTGGTCAAGTTTCCATGGATGATGGGAAGGAGGTGTTTGGGACTCGGGAAAAAGAAAGGTCGGAGGCTGGAAAAGGAGAGAAAATGTGAGAGAAGTTACAGTGACTGCGTAATGGAAAGTGATCAAATTTCGAGAAAGGAGAGGGTGGTAGATGAATGGACATTGGAAAATTTATCATCTGGGTTTGGAAATGAAGAACAAAAAGACAACTTCAGTGCGAGATTTGAGGCAGAGAAGGTCTGGTTAGAGTTGTACCAGGTTGATCATTTGGGTTTTGGTAGACTTTCTTTCACTGGAATTCCGTCCCAAGGTAAGGGCAATTAGGGGTAAAGAAAATATGTTCTTGTACTTCAACTTATAATCAATTCTTTTTACACCTATTATCACCCAAGGGGTAAGTATTAGGTGTTAAATTTACCCTTGGGGTTTGAATGACTATCGGGCTTTTAGTAAAGGAAATGGAAAAATGAAGAGATTGCTGTGTTCTTACTGTTATCTTTTCAGTTTTTTCTTCCCTGTTGGATGGTTAAAATAAATAGTTATAGAAGGAAAAAGACAAATAACCATAAGCGCAAGAAGAAGAGGAGGCATGGTAAAGACTAGTAATCAAATTAAGTTATTCAGGCTTGACTCGACGTCGACTCGTTTTCTAAAAGAATCTTATTTGACTATTTTTTAGGCTCATTTAAAATAATAGTTTGAGAGATTCGATTCATTTATATGTAAATATTTGGGCTTGACTCGTTTTGGCTTCATTCAAACTCGACTCGTTTTCTAAACAACCAAACTTAAATATTTTTTTAGACTTATTTAGAAAACAAGCTCGATAAATTGATTCGTTTGTGTGTAAATATTCAGACTCGGTTCATTTTAGGTTCATTCAGAAAACAAGTTAAACTTGAACATATTTTTAGACTCGCTTAAAAAATAAGTTCCATAGACTCGATTCGAGTTCGTTCAAACTTGTTCAATTATCAACCCTGGGCATGGTATGAGTCAAGCAATGGAGGATGGAAGGAAGGTCTTCTAATGGTGGTGAGATTGGTCCCATCCTTTTGACCAAACACTGCTTAAACGAGCAAGGAAAAAAATTTCAATCAATTAAACAATTGGTCAGGAAGGTGTCACTGTTGGTCAACAATTGTCTGTGTGAGAGAGTCTATATAGCTGAACAATCTTAACATAGTTTCTTTCCAGCCAGAGAACATTGATTACTAACAGCAAGAGCCAGCTCCATGATGTTAAGTCCCAAGGATTTACCTTTCATTGTCTGTTCAGCCCAGACAAATGGAGCTCTCCCAAGCTCTGCTTGGCCATTTGTTATCTTTGCAATTCTCATTTTGATGAATTACGTACACTGGTAACTTAATTTACTTTGTGTTGAGACGATGAAATCCATCCCTATTGTGTTTAGTGCTTAGTTTTAACACAGATAGTTCCAAATCCAGATAAAAAGTAATGGTTGTAATGGGCGCGGGAGACTCTTTTATCTATGGGTTCCGCTGTTCTGTCTTGTTCTTGTTTTCCTCCGAAAACAGGTTCTTTAGCATTCTCCTAATCAAATTACTGGTGATAAAAACGCTCATACTATGGATGAATTCCATTTCTTGAGACTCTAGCCTATGTTAAGTACTTAGCTAATAACCAACATAAAACTTGTGTGAACAAATGAAAGAAAAGAGTAGAAAAGTTTCTTGCTGTCTTAAAGATGTAGATTGCAGAGGTTAAAACAGTGGAAAATTCTTCAAATGAGCTTTGGTCAGAACATGCCTTCTTTTTTCCCCTTGGGTGGTGGTGGTAGTACACCTATAACTACTCACAAACATGCTTGAATCTATGTCTTGTTTTCTTTGCAACTTTTAAGGATTTAATTTATTGTGGCAGTGGTAGTACATCATATCAAACTATTTAGAAAAGGAAAGACTGGGTAACCACTAGACAGAACCCTAACAATAACATGAGACCATAAAGACAATATCACCACACCACACCTTCTGGTTTACAATCTCTGCAGACGGCAGAGGCAACATGCTGCCAAATAAAGAGCCAGAGTTTCCATAATGCCATGCTTATAATTCCTTCTATGCAGTCTTATCCCATTCTACATAAATTGATTTTCAAACTCAAACCCATATAACTTAAATCTCTCATTTGCAAGGCTTGTTAATCCATTTTAATGGGATTATAAACTGATTTTTGAACTCAAACACATATAGTTTAACCTCTCATCGCAAGGCTCGCTTGTTTTGAAGTCAAGTTAAGATGCATTCAGTCTTATCTTAATTATCCACACGATAAATTTGTAGAGCATAAAATGAAACTTTTAATTGTGAAAGATTTGGTTTGTGTAGATCTAAAACTAACAACCCAAAGATAATTCAAGTAGTAATAGAGATGAGTTGTAAACTCGGAAGTCATAAATTCAAACCTTGACAACTCTTTGAAGGATAAATTCTTCATTAAAAGCTTAGTCTGACATGGACGACTTATTTTTGACTGGACTGAAAAAGAGATTAATCGAAATATACATTAACTGACCCAGATTATAACCATTGAATCAAAATAAAATAAAATAATAATTAAAAAAAGAGATCCACAACCAGCTCATCTCTTGTCCGCAATCAACATTGTCTAATTGGAAAATTTGTTACAAATTTCCATAACTGGGCAATGCAGACTACGGTACTCAAAAAAGAATCTGTGTGCCGTGACAAACGATTCCTGGAAGTAAAATTCTGTTGCACGACTTGCCACTTGTGAAAGAGTGTAAATGTGTTGATAAAACCCCCTTCAAATGCCCCAGAAAATATGGCAAACCATGTACGGATACACCCATAACACTGTTACACTTAACTGCCATTGCTGGCATGTAAAAAGTGAAAAAAAAATTCCCCGACCAACCAAAAGGTGAGAATTAATAATTGTTATCCACGTTTATATAGTAAAGTACAAAGATTTGAATATATAAAAAATATTTTTTATTTTTTGTAGTTAAAATAATTTTAGATTTTACTATGAATTTAATACGACAGTTAATATTAACTCCATAAATTTAATAGAAAAAATAAACCCCATAAATGAAGGAGCTTATTTAAAAACATTCACCATCTATTCATTATTATATTTATTATCACTATCACCATCATCTCACTATTACAGTCGCCCACCGCCCCCATCAATCACCATTGCTGCCCACCGCCACCCACTACCATAATCCACCACCATTTGTCGTTACGTACCATCGTCACTACCACTACCACCATCATTCATCACCACCCACCTCCACCATTGTCCATAAGAACTCGTCGTTGCCCGCGACCACTCACACCCACCATCACTGCCACTATCGTTGTCACCCCATCACCACCATTGCCAATCACTGGCACTGGCATCGACACTCTCAATAATTACTGTCATAACTCATGGTTATTACTATCATAATCATCATCTAAAACTCACCACCATCATTATCAGTGTCACTCACGATTGCCACCACAATTACGGTCGTCGTCGCCCACCACAAATATCACTATCTCCCACCATCACCATTGACGCCAATCACTATTACCACCGCTCACTCCCACTAAAAAAAATACTTAAATTCATTTCTTTCTCCCTTATATTTGTAATTTGATTTTAAATATGAATATAATTATATTTATAATTGACAATTTTTTTTATTACATCATGCCTTTAGGTACGGATAATAACTATTTTTTCAATATCACACAAAATCAATATAAAATTTAGGGGTGTTTAAATTTTCGGTTAACCGCAATTTTCTACCTTATCCAACCATATTCTACCATACTGAACAGCTAGCAGCAAAATCAGGTAGGAATGCGAAAGAGTTTTTAGTATTTTGATTAAATCGGGTAGGAATGCAGAAGAGTTTTTGGTCTTCTGATTAAATCAAGTAGGAATGCAGAGTACCCATCAATTTTTGCATTACTATCCTACCCTACCCGCATTAATTAATTAATTTATATATATATATATATATATATATATATATATATAAACTAAACAAAACTCTAATTGCTAACCAACATTATTGTCTATTGACGAAGTGAGCGTCTCACTCCACTCCTCTCTTCTTGCCTCCATCGGCTTCATCGCTCAAACCTCTACATCCACAGCTCAAGCCTTCATTGTTCAGTCCCGACCTCCCCAGGTACTCTCTCTCTCTCTCTCTCTCTCTGTGTGTGTGTTTGGGTGCAATTTGGTGGCCTTCATCGTTCATACTTTTATCTACAGATCTGATTTTCTTTTTTAAGCATCAAGTTAATGAATTTCAAAACTCTAACTTTCAAGCATCGTTCAGGCCTTCCCTTTTTTTATAAGCATCGTTAAGGCCTTTTCTATTTTTTTAAGCTTTCAAAATTTATCAAGTTAACATCAAACATGAAAAACCCTAAATTTCAAGTCTTAAATCAAAATTCAAAACAACTGGAGCCAGTGCTTGCAATTTGCATACCATACTTGATTGGGTAGAGTAGGTCAAGAAAAAATTCTTCCGCAAAGTATCAGGTAGAAAAACGAAAGACTATATTCCTATCCATAGGATAGGGTAAACTCCCCTAATAAAATTAATGAATATAAGTTTACCTTAATGAATTATTCTTTCAAACATGCTTAATAAATGGATTAACACACCAATTCCCTTCTACCTGACTAGGGTTGCAATTTAGGTACGTCAACTCGAATTCAACTCAAACTCATTTCAAAAATAATACTATTAGAGTTGAGGTTTTTAGGATTAGAGTTATGGTTGAAAAGTTTCATTGGTTTAATTCGAATTAATGAAATTGGTTTCAACCCAAATTCATGTATTATATTTATATAAATAATTTTAAAATAAAATATAAATACATAATAATAATTATTATTATTATTTAAAAGAAGAGCGAAACATGATTTATAAGGACTATAGATAATGAAAGAAGTTTGCACAATTAATGTCGGATAAGTAAAAAAGGCAAAAAAAGACAATGAGTTGTCATCCCACATCAGATAGACAACTCAAATGATTTCTCCCCTCTATCCTATATAAAGAAGGCTCACTTTTACCATTTTAAACCCTCAATAAATTGTCTTAATGGGTTTCATCTTGGTGGTCATGTAAGCTTATGTAATAATAATCCAACATTGTGAAAAATTCACACCTAATTTAAGATTATTGTTTATTAAACCAGATTTACCAACTCAAATAGGACCAGAATTAGGTAACTCGATTTCAACCTAAATTTGTCCGAAATCATCTCAGACAATACTTAGGTTGAGATCAGATTAGTATTAGAGTTATAATTAAAGATTTTATACCTAAAATTGAACCCTCAACTTGTCTAACCCGCTTAAGTTGCACCTCTATACTTGATATGTGAATTAAGTTTGAATTAATCACATTTTGACACGATAAAACTTAAAAATACCGGTCATCCAGGGTAAATACTTAGAAGTTGCACCGCTATACTTAAATACATTTAGAAGTGTGAGAAGGTAAGTATATATTTTTAAGTGTGAGAAAGGTAAGTAAATATTTAGTATAATGGTGATATTTAAAACATTATTCGCCTTTAAACTACTACACTTGTGTCAAATAAACCCTTTAATTATTACACTATTGTCAAATAAGCCCCTAAACAGTTGATTGTTTACCCCTTCATCTTTCAAAATAGATTCCATTCAACCTTCCTTCAACTATTCAGACAGAAACATCACATGCGAACATCAACACGAATTGGCAGGGGTACTTCAGTTATTTCAAACCCTGAATCCTACTCGATAATCAAATCAAGAGTGTGCTCATACGACAAAGGCGCAGGCCCAATGTAGACTGTCAATACGTTTTTATTTGACCTCATGGTAACATCAAGCATGGTGTACCCTGAGATACATTTTCACAGAATATCATGTATTTTTTTGGCAGGCCCGCCCGCAAAAAGCCTCATACCAGAAACACAATAGTTGCAATACGAATATGGGTTCTGATTTCCACCTGTAAATCATGATTTCTAATCCTTAACCAAATGACTTCCTAGTAGGTCGGCTGTCCAAACAATCTATGTAAAAACGGTGATGTGAGAGAAGGGAGGGGAGGGGATTGTGTGAGAGGAAGAAGAGAGAGACTATCTGTAATGGGCTATTGTTACTGGAAAGCAAATGATAATGGTTACAGAAATAAAACAGAACTAACAAACCTATATCGAATTATATAATCCTATAGCGAAAAATAACTTCCTCCCACTTTCATACAGGCTAACCTAAAGGGATAGAGAAACATTTATATCCACCATGAGCCAAACAGTCAAGGGACCAAAAACTATATCAAGAAAGTTAGGAACATGAGGCTCCATAATTTATACAGCACTATCTAGGAGGATGTTGTAGTCTCTGTCATTGTGCTTACCTTCTCCAAGAGGCATTTCATCTCATCCTCCAACCTGGATTTCATCTCGTGCGAAATTTCACCATCATAATTTTCCAGCATAGATGTCAACATCTGAAGTTTCTGCCTGATGAAACCAACCTGTGACACCCCATCATCATCAGATTGCCGAGAAGAAACTTGATTCGCAGGTGTCTTCTTCAGAGGACTAGAAGCTTTTCGAGCACTTAAAGCAGCTGAGGGGTACTGGAGCCGATAATTAACATTGGCAGCTCCGAAGGGGCTGTTCTTTAATACTAAGCTCAAAGCTTCTTCAGCATCAGAAGTCCTCAAGAAAACAACCTGGCCACAATAAGAATTATATAAGATATCTGTTTCCTTTTCATTCAGAGAACCAAACTTGCTAAATATTTTGATAAGATCATCCTTCGATGGCAAAGAAAACCCAGGAGGAAATGACACCATAAGGGCTACAGGAGGTGAAGCATCTTTGTCAGCCTCCTTGTCATTTGTCTTCAAGCCAGACACATTAGCAGCTTTCTTGAGTTTTGGCCCACACAAATTTCGTTGTTCATTCTTTTCATTCCTTCTCCGCAGAGATTTAGATTCAGGTGACTCGCAAACAGTATGGTCTAGGTCTTCTCCTTGTGGCCCTGGTTCAGAGTTTAATGACTTCCGCTTCCTACCATGTTGTCGCTTGTGGTAGATTTTGTAGTTGGATCCATTCAGATAAACTGAACTTCTGAATGTAGAAACAAACCCAGTGATCGTAGCAAGTGATCTCTTGTCCCTCAAATGTAGAGAATTAACAGCTACAGACCGGACTAAAAACAGCATTTTGGTGACAGATGCATTGCCATCAATGGGGAAGGTAATCTTCTTCGGTTCTTGTTCTTGATCTTGATCTTGTTCAGTAGTCTGAGGACATGAGCTACCAGATGTGTCACACCCATCACTGAGTTCTTTAGACTGTTTCTTCTGAAATTTCTCATCACTGCACTTCACAATTGGGGGTGACCCGGTTAGTTGTCCAGCAGCCTTTGTCATCCGCTCCCCCATCCTAGCAATCTTGGCAATTCCCTCAGCTTCTATCTCTGACACTCGCTTAAAGCTTGAGTTTCTCACCCTCCAAATTGGACTTGTGAAGGGAGAGGTCAAGTACTTACTTTTCTTCCTTTCCCTTGGGGAGGATATGTTCTTGGTTTCCTCTTTGGTGTCTCTGTCAACATTTTCAACACCAGAAACTCCGTTTCTCTTCCTTCCCCTAGCCACAAGGCTTTCCTTATCTTCTTTCTCATCCCAACCACCATTTTCAACACTGCAAACCTTGTCCTCTTTCCCTTGAGAAGATTCATAAATCTCATCCATCTTCATCCCCCTTTTCCTCCCAGAAGAAGTAAGACCACCGGCACCATGACTCTCAGCTTTATCAGTGCCTCCCATCTTTGCCCTTTTCTTCCCAGACATTGCCTTGCCAGGGTGTGTCCCATCTTTAGTCATACTCCACTTCTTATCTTTGGGCTCAGTAGTCATATCCTCTTTCATAAGTTCAGCCACACTTTTCTGCTTCCTTCTTCGATACAGCTTATCCTCTGAAATCTCATGGTACTCTGCCCGGCATACTGGGGAAGAAAGCCAGTCTTCTTCAATCGGGCCCTGCATGGGATCTCTAACCTCATTCATCGCTAATACCCCATTTCCACTATTGTCGTCAAGGCCTTCAATAGCTTGAGGTTCATAGTAGACAGGTAATGAGTAAACCCCTTTTGCACGATAAAAGGCAGAAAGTAAACTCTTCAACAGTGTCAGCTCAAGCTTACAGGTAACAGAAAATGCCACAGCAAGATATCTGATATTTGCAATTAACTCTACCGGTTCAAGCCAAGAACTTGAAAGTTTACCGGTATCTCCCTGAGGCACAAGAACTCCTGTTCTAATTCCAGCATTCACTGTCACGGACCTGGTGAGTCCAATCAGATCCTTGTCAGGTACACATGAGCAAGTCATCCCCAACTCCACAACTCTACCCATCTCTTCCAAAGCCTTCTGAACAGCATTGACAAAGCTATTAGAATTGCTTTGCTTTGACATTTCTTTGAAATTCTCCACAAAGGGCTTTAACTGAGATGGGGAGCACCAAGAAAAAGAGCTATCCCCAAAGTATGCCACGAGGAGTCGATCCTTCTGCTTTAATTTATTAGCATTCTCTGATGCATCAAAAGGATTATAGATCTGTCCAGGCCACCATGGGTGACTCCTAATTTTACCCCACACTAAATCACCAACAGAATAGACATGCTCTTGAGCACCCACACCTTCCCCACCATTGTCCTCATCCTCTTCTTTATTATCCTGATTCACAACTTCCCCATCTTCCTCTTTCTCCCCTCCTTTACCCTTCATATATTTTTTCCTGGATCTTTCACCAATTTTCTCCCCTGGGTTTTCCCCATTTTGAGGCAAAAGACCTTTACCGTCTCCATATCCACATTTTTTCTCACTATCACAATTTACACTCTCCAAAGAGCCATGAACTTCCAAAAGAAGAGAGATCCCATTCCCATTACAGAACTCCAACTTCCTATCAGAACCAACCCCAGTAAAAACACTCGAATCCCCACCAACCCCAATCTTCTGACCCTCATTTTTCTCAACTTCAGAAACAGAATCCAACCCTTTCAAAGTCTCTTCTCCACCACCAAAAAGCCCTCTACTTTGCCTCCCAAAACTAGTCTCCACTGAAATTCTGTCGGTCTCAACAACTCGCCTTGTAACAACTACAACACTACCATCACCACTGACAATGTCTCCATTCAAACCCTCCTTGTTGCCGACAGAAACCCTAACACCATTTTCATCCGGTCCAGGCTTTGAACCTGTCTGACCCTCGGCTGAACCGGCCATTAGGGTTTCAGACTCAGCTGGTTCGCCAACAACAGCATCCTCCGCTAGGTTTGTTCCCCTCATCTTAGCTTCTTCAAGTGTTGCCATTTCTGGAAAACGCTCTCAAATTCCTCTTTTGCCGCCCCGAGTCTCTCGGAGTCCACAACTGTAAACAGAAATTCAAAATAAAACAAAGAAACAAACAAAATAAAGAAAGTAAATATCAATTATCCACATCCACTAGGGTTTTTGGCTTTCTCTCTCTCCTTCCCTCTCTACAAGCTCGTTGGAGAGCTCGAAGCATACATATATGGAATAAAATAATAACAACCAAAACGTAATAGAATATTAAGAAAAACAAAGCACATACACTAAAAAAAAAATCCATATAGAATAGGGGGAATACCTGAAGAACAAAAAGTCAGGCTCAGTGCTTATGCTTTTAACCATTGATTCTTCAAACCATTTTCCAGAGGAATCTCTATATTCACCTCAACACCACTTGTAGAGATAAAAAAGCGTGTGTTTGTGAGAGAGAGAGAGAGAGAGATTAATTTCTAGGTTTGAGAAATTGAATTTCTAGGGTTTAGCAGCGAGAGAGTTATGGAAAATTTAAAAATAAATTAATAACGTTGATTAGGTTAATAGACGGTGACATGTTCCTTATCGTCTTGTCCCTATTAAAAATCTGAAACGTCATATGTATTGACATGTAGAAATGTTGTGTACTCGCCTTATTCAACTCCCATGTTTTGCTGCTTCCACTTTTTGAATTTTCAAAATAATTTTATTTCTTTAAAATAAAATTTAATTTGTATAATTAATTATAATTTATTTTTAAATTTATAATTATCGATATATGGATAAAGAAAGAGGAAGTATAAGGATGGGGACAAGGCTTTTTATTGTGCGGAAAGGCTGAGATTCGTCAGAGGTAGCTGACACTTGTCCTTCTACGCTCCGGTGAAAGAAAAAGCCCAGTGAGTGTGGGTTGAATCACACGTTTTTTGTTCCCGTTCGCACGCGTCCCGTGTTTGGGACACCACACGATTAATTATATAAAATGGATTAGAATCGACTAATACTTGATTTAAATTTGAAATGATACGACACCGTAGGATTATCTCTTATAACAGTAAATATTGGGAGTAATCCTGACACCATTTACAAGTCATCAACGTGAATCTCAATTGGCAATTATTTTTAGACATCCAGAGTTGCCAAATGACATCAATGGTATGGTAGGGTGGGTGGTCTAAGTAAAATACTGGTGGGTTGAGTTGGTTATAGACTAGGTTAAATTGGGTTGAATTAAAATAAATTTAATATATTTTTTACTTACGTATTAAATAAGTTGAATTTATAACAGATTGAGTTAAACGTATTAACCCATAAAATAATTAAAATTCTTAATAGACACATACTAATACATCAAAATACACATACATTAATAATACACTAAAATACAACATACGCACACACTAATATACCAAAATAAACACAAACTAATACACTAAAAATATACCAAAAATACACATATATATACTAACACAAAAATTAAAACACATTTAATAAAATAAAAAATTACACACACATAATGGGTCAGATAGACTGTGGGTCGTGGATCAACCCATGAGTCATGGATCACAGGTCAACCCATTCGTCATGAACTAAGTCACAAGTCATGGGTCGATTGCTGGGTCCTTGATCAACCTGCAGATCATGGGTGGTGTGTTAGTGTGCTAAGCGTTTCTAGTGTGATTTGGTGTATATTTGTATATTTTTGTGCACATTAGTGTGTGTATTTTTTTATATTAGTATATTTATTTAATTTTATTACTTTTTTTATTTAATAAAAAAATAAATACTCTACTTAATAGGTATTCATTTATAATCCATATTAACCCACTTAATTAAAATAAATCATACTATCCAACTCATTTAGAACCTGCATTAATTAATATAGATACCTAACCCATTTATTTATGGACAAATTAATGGATAATGAGTTAAAATTGTCATATCCATTCTCATCCTATGGTTCTGAGTTCCAAGTTTTGAAGTCTACTTTGAGATTCGATAATTGACTACTATACTAGTCTAACAAGGTTCGTTCCGAGAGAAATAACATGCAGGATCAAAAACCTCGTGATCTCATTAGTGAAGGCTTATCAAGATAGTCTCGAGGTAAAAAAAAATAAAAAATGACATGAATGGATGATTATTATATTGCAAATCTATTTATTTAACTAATATATTTTATTAAATGGTGATATTATACAATAATAATGGCAGGATATTCCTGCTAGGCTGGTATATCCAATCCAATATTTTTTCCATGTTTGGACCGTTTTGTGGTAGCAGACTTAAATACACAATCAAACCCGGCTAAGGTAAGGAACAATCCGTCACAAAAAAAAGGCATAATAGATGCTGGCCACCACCCGCACTTTAGAAAGTACGAATACGATACCTTAAAGATAAAAATATAAAATACAGGTGCAATACAAATATGATTAATTAAAATAATATATTTTTAAATAATAATAAAATTATAATATATTTCCCAAAATATAGAATGTCTTATTTTACTCTTCAATATTTTAATTGTATCATTTTGATATCCAATGTATTGAATATATTTCTATGTGATTCCTCGAGCAGACAGCATCCAAATTACTAATAATTTTTTATCATAAATTTATCACATAATATTTAAATATAGGTAAAAAAATAATAATTTCAGTAACTTTTAACCAAAAATATATAATTTTAATAACTCTTAACCTAAATTTAGATAGCTCGTGACTAAAACTGTAAAATTTGAATAACACTTCAACTAAAATTTAAGTAAAAATTTGGTTACGAGATCCCAAATTATTTTTTTCCCATATTTAGTATCATGGAATAATTTATAATTAAAAATCGTTAATAAATTTGACGTTGTCTGCTTGAGAGAAGGGTTGTTGGTCGAACGAGTCCAAGCCAAATTCGAGTCAAGATTGAAAAGCTTGTTTCATAATCGAACTTAAAAAATTGTTCAAGTTCGACTCATTTATAAAAAGAGCCGAACCTAAATGAGATAATGCAAGTCGAGCCCGAGCCGAACCCAAGTATTTGCACATAAATGAGTCAAGTCTGTCAAGTTTGAGTCGAACTTATAGGACTTGTTTTTTAAACGAGCCTAAAAACTTATTCAAATTCAGGTTCGTTTAAAAAACAAATCGAACCTGAACAAGCCGAACCCTAACCAAGCTCGAATAATTCAGTTTGATTAACAACTCTACGTGAGAAAGCATATAAAAACATATTCGATATTTCAGGATCAAAATAATACAATAAAAATATTGAGACCAAAATTAGACACACTATATTTTAAAAACCTCTCGTACAATTAACCCAAAATATTAATAATAAGACTTAATAAATATTAATTTTTTCCCTCAATTGCTAACTCTTTCTTGCTTTCCCTCTTTGGAATTTAATAGGAATTTCTTTCTATTCTTTATTTTTGGGTTTTGGTGGGTTTTTGTTTTGGTGTGGGAGATAAAAAGGGGGGGGATTTGGTAAAATAAAAAAAAGGATGAGTGAGCCACGTTTTTCCTCTACTCTTTTTTGGGGCCTGTCTTTTTTTCCAATTTCGCCTTTTACAAAAAAAAACATATCGTAAGGGAAAATGTAACATATTATCACCCCTCTTTCCTTTTTTTTTCCTTGAAATTTTGTTTGGCTAGGAAGAAGAAAGAGAAGCAGCAGCTTTTTTCCTTATGTTTTCCTTTTCCAATTTCCCATTCAATTTGCAATGAAAAGTTTCAACCACTAAAAGAGGTTTCCTCCTGAAGTTAAAGAGTTAAAACCCTTACTACAAACCATCACATGTAAGTGCTGGAGAGAAACGGTTTTGAACCATTATCCTCCTTCCCCACCTAAAGGTTCCTACTCTACCTAAAGTGTTGTTTTCATATTTGCAATTTGAGCTCAATTTCATGCAATAAGAACAAGAACAAGAAGTTAAAATGTGAACAAATTCTCCTCTGTAGAAGCTCTGGAACACCTGATTGTGACACCAGTAAACAGCAATCATCGGTAAGGGATAGAAACATGTTTTTTACCCTGTCTTAAAGGAAATTAGGACATGTTTTGAGGCTTCCCCATATTTTATTTGCAATGTACATTGTTGGCTAAGATAATGACAAAGAGCATATATAACTGAACTACTGCTTCAGTTCATAGCAATGGATAAGATTCAACATTCTCGAGTAAGAATTCCAAGTTCAGTCCAACAAATTCACGACAAGCTTACCTGTTGGGTAATCTCATGTGAGAACCCTGAATCGAATATGAAACAAATTGAAAAAGTCCTATCTTGAATTCCTATCTCCCGACAATTGGTAGGAATTCAATACAAGTGTTAATTATCGGCTATGCAAAACCAACATAACCCTTCAATCATCTGAAGCCTAAATTTTATAATCAGCCCATGCCAAAGACTAGCATTCATAGTTGATGATTTCATTCAAGAATATGCAGATTTAACCCCCATAATACAACAGAGGCGATGAGAGAAAATTAAGGAATGATACACACAAGTTCAAACAAATAGACACACAAATAATTTCAATTCATGGAGGTTGAAAGCTTTTTAAGCACGAGTAAAACTATGATTTCATAAGCTAACAAACACACTCATTTTCCACAGAAAGTACAAAAAATTACCGTAACTCGTCTAAACAATGGCGATTTTCGCTCCAGCTTCTTCGAGCTGTTTCTTCACCTCCTCTGCCTCATCCTTCGACACTCCTTCCTTAAATTTCTTCGGCAATCCTTCGATCAATTCTTTAGCCTCTTTCAAAGCCAAACTCGTCAAAGCCCTAACCGCTTTGATCGTCGATATACGCGAATTGCTCGGCACTTCCTCGATGACTACATCGAACTCCGTCTTCTCCTCCACGACGGCGGGACCCTCGGCTGCTCCAGGGGCGGCGGCGACGGCAGCGACGGGAGCGAATGACGCGGCGGAGACGCCGAGCTTGTCTTGGAGGTACTCCACGAGCTTCTGGGCGTCTGCGAGGGTTAGGTTGGAGATTTCGTCGCCGAGTTGGACAATTTTCTCAGGGGCCTCGACAGCAGCGAGAGGGCGGAGAAGGGTGGCGCGACGGTGGAGAAGTTTAGGGGTTTGGATAGCAAAATGTAGGGTTTGTTTAGGGAAAGTGACTGAGGGGTGCGTAGGATACGCGATAGATGAGGATGGAGGATAAGAGGGTGAACGGAGTGTCACGGTGGATAGTGTCGAGGCCATTTTGCAGGGTGGGAGAGAGAGAGTAGACTGTACAGGGAAGACGAAGAGGATAGGATAAGGAGCAGAATGTGTAAACGAAGGTAATTTTCCTCGTTTTGATTTCTATTCGGTTTGGACTGATAATAAGCCGATTGGTTGGACTAATAATGGGCTGACTTTCATTTTGACACATCTTAAAGCCTATTCCACCTGTTAGTTAGGCCGACTTTAGTTTTGATACATCTTAAAGCCCACACCATGTGTTGGTTGGACTAATAACGGGCCTATGTCCGAATGACCACATGTGAAGGCCCAGACCCTATGTTTGGGTGTCCATCAAAAAAGCAAAAACACAAAAGAAAGACTTGAAGGGGCATTCCGAGAATCGAACTCGGGACCTCTCGCACCCAAAGCGAGAATCATACCACTAGACCAAATGCCCTCTCTTTGTTACAAACAAAGAGTTTATTATATTATTAATTAAATAATATTTTTTTAGTGGTTGAATAAAACTAAATTAATGCCCACCGTCAGTATCATGTCGCACAAGTTTTAATATTTGGGAATTGTGGGACAAAATTATGATCATTAAATTACAGGTAATAAAAGCAACTTATTTCTAGACAAAGCAATAAAAAAAATAGAGCATACCTATTGGACGAGACTTCTACCATTACAGGATAAATAAAACAGTAATTTTCTCAAAATTTTCTTGGGTATACAATAGTTTGAAAGAAATTATGGAGATTATAGATCACCAACAATGTATATGACCTGGAAAAATTTACGTGTTACAAGAGACGGGTCGAAAGCATCCTCACCTCCTCATGGTCATGTTTGCTTAATTAGAAGCAGAAAATTCCATTCACTAGTTCGGTAATTTTAGCCCTCATCACTCATCAGGGCACTCGGTTAGAGGTGCAATTGGCATTCTGTCAGTTCAACAATTTCAAAGACTGGCTTTCTTTCAATTGACAATCAAGCATCTAATTCCATTTTCATCTGGTCATTATCATTAATCCAATGAAGCACGATCAAAACATTGGTTGAAGTGTTTAGACTACACACGATCTCTACGTAAAAGAACAAACGCATTCTTTATATGCAAAAAGAGAAATGCTATATAACTAGAACACATTGCTAATGCACAATAGTCGACAATGGAGGGTCGCATTCATATTTGATAAAAGCCTAACCCTTGAAGACCACAGTAAATAACTAAAAGGAAAAAGCCCAAATGGTAACTAGGACAACCCGTAAATCTAAATGTCTCGAATTTAAATCTTGACAATCTCTTAGGACCAGATAATGAGAAATTTATTTTTCACAAATATCCTAATTCTAGTGTGGATGCCTACTTTTGACCGACTCGGGAAAGATATTAGTTGAAGTATGCGTAAGCTAATCCGGACACCTAAAAAAATAAGACCATAATAAATTTCAACATATCAGTGAAATATAAAAAAACAAGAAAGTCTAATGACTTACTTATTGGAACAAGTCCCCTGCACTGTATAGAAATATAATTTGGCAAGTAAGAATACATTTGAGCCATTTTCTGCTTTCAATTATCATGTAAGATCAAGTATTGTCCCATACACTAGCCTAAACTGGTACAACATGGTATTGCAGTATTGAATCAGCAATATCAAGGATTCGAAAAATTGCAGAGCCCAGCAGCAATTTCTTACCACCTCCGATGCCTCCTTCCATACCAATATGCGAAAGCAGCTATTGATGCAGCCACAACCACACCAGCCGTTGCATGCCAAGCATATATTGGTTTCTCCAGGACTAGGCCAGTACCACAACTAACATCAAGAGATGGGGATGGTTGTGGTTTCTGACTTGCTGTCAAAGCAAACCCCAAACCCTGCCTTTCCAGCTCAGCCAAGTCTTCAATGGCTGGCATCATCCTGGTGGCCTTAGCTATAGCCTCATACTCCTCTTTGGTTCCTCCTTCAAGAAAAGATCCGATAAGATGACCCTTACTTACCCAGTAAGCCCCAAATGTATTTCCCGAGAAATCCCCAAAATGAACAACTTCCCCGACACCATCTCCATAAAACTGCCAAGACAGTGTGAAGACTCTGGAGTAGAAGAATGGCAGGTAGTCAAATTCGCCTATCTTGTCTGGTTCCATTATTGCAGCAACAACATGTTTTGCTGACTTTCGGGCTGAGTCAACATGCTCAAGCCTACGGGTTTCCCCAAAAAGTTTGACTGGAAATGTTGCAACATCCCCAACAGCATAGACAGAGCTGTTGCTTGACTGCAACCGCCCATTCACTTTGATTCCTCCCTTCTCAAGCGTGAGTTGGCCTTCAAACAGGCTTGTGTTAGGGCGGATACCAATTCCAACCACAACCATATCAGCAGGGAGACGACTTCCATCCCTAAGGTTAACTGCTGTAACCTGTGTCATTAGTTAATTGGTCCAGTTAGTCATCAATAACTTGAAAATAAGATATCAGATGTGAAAGTATGGTCACAGCCACCGTCACAGGAGAAATGAGGAAAACAGGAAGAGTGGACATAAAGTCGCCAATATTGGTGAAGGCAACTTTTAAATTCTCATGTGCCCCAAAATTAACAGTAACAAATCTCTGGATTCTGAAGCCGTGTAAGCATAGGATATACCTTCCCAACAGGGTTGAAATCAAATGATGACAAGACAGTTCCTTTGATAAACTTCACTCCTTTAGACTTGTAAAAGTCTTCATAGTAACTTGCAATCTTCGATGTAAATAAACGAGCCACTACAAAAAGGAACAAAGTGATGAACTTTGTTCTAGAAGTTGCCAGAGGGAAACAATAAATAAATTCCACCGAAGGAAAATGCCATTGCATTTGTACCAAATTGAAAACGGTAACACCTACTTTTATCCAATTTAGCATGAATTCTTAGTGGTGGTGACCACAATTTTTTTATGACAACTTGATTCTAAATGACGAATTTCTGGCTCAAATTTCTGGAATTGAGATTACAAAGATGAAGAAGTTTTCATACAAAAATACTTACTGCAATGTGCCTCTGGGAAAACCATGGTGACATTTATCTTATTTATCACTAAAGATGCAGCACATTCCATTCCTATGTAGCCACCACCGATGACAACAGCATCTCCACCACTACAGCATTGCATCACATTGACGAGCCTCGTTGCATCAGCCAAATCGCGTAAATAACACACATTTTCAGCATCTGAACCAGTCACTCCAAACTCCTCAAGCTTCAAAGCCTATACTTCACACATCCAAATTAAATGTTATCAACGAGCTCAATAAATCTCTTTCTTTTAGGCATTAAACTTGTCATTAAATTCTGAATTGAAACAGTTGAGGTCACAAAGTCCAAAGTCAGTGCTGAAATCATGCCTGTGGCAAGCTGAGCACTGACGTTTTTCCAAAGGAATATCACTTTCTTTATTTTTAAAATGCATTCAGCTATTACAAATGAGGTCAATTGCCTTTCTAGTGAATCATAAGGCATTAATAAATTTCAAGATCAAATTTCAGTACCCGAGCACCTGTTGCAATGATGAGAATCTGGTAGCTTATAGTTTCTCCTGTTGCTGTCAACAACGTCTTCCGCCTCACATCAGCAGACTTCACTCGAGTTCCAATAACCAGTTCGATTCCTGGAAACAAACATCCAGACTCCAAGTATCACATACTGTAATAAGGAAAATGTGAAGTACATAGACTGTTATCTTGCTCCTATGGTTCATGTAAACCAAAATTCATATTCTAAACCCCAAACCACCATTGTTGAAACAAACAGACTGATATTAAACATTGATGCCATAATAACGACTTCGACAGTGTTACTAATATTAATTTCTCTCTTCCATTGATTGATCGACATTTTGATCACAACCAAGCGTTAAAAAAAAAAAGAAGGGTACTTGGCAAAAAGCAAAGAAAAACAAACAACGATGCTGATTCAAGAAAGTTACCAAGACACTTGCATCAATAAATATAGCTTAGGACAAAAACTGTGGTAATAAATAACCAACAGTTTCTCATAACATTAGCATTATCATATGGATTCAAGTCAGCATAGTAAGAGAACAACTACCATTTTCCTTGTACCATTTTGGAGTTAACCTTTCCTCATTGGAACCAACACAAGTGTGAAATGAAGGGAGGCGTGCAGGATCTGCATATCACAGCAAATATGAATAATTAAACAACAAACAGGCCAATAAAGAAATAGGAAGAAAGCATAAAATAGACATGAAACCTGTTCAAACTATTTCATTTCTCCAGTTAAGTTATTCCATGTTTCGGTTCCATGGAACATTTGTAGAGTTAATAGAGGATATGAGGAAAAGTAAGAAACTTTGTTAATTTAATGGTTAGTCCTTTATTTTTCACAATTTCCAATAGGTAAATAGCCAATCAAACTACATGACTAACAAACAAACATGGCTACCAAAAGCCCAAAGGTGATGTATCAGGCAAGGAAATAACTTCCATGATGGGGGTTACTCTTTTGTGAGTGAATTTAAGGAGACATGATACAAGCTCTTCTTTTGTTCTACGAATCTAACTAATCTATATGGGGAATAATAATATTCATATTAGTGAATCTCAAGGTGTTCTTGCTTTAGCTATTGAGACATGTCATATATCTTTGATGAAAAATATAAAAACACAGTTAACATATGACTTACGGTGAGAAGATGATACCTTCTGGTAGTAAAAAACCTTTGCTTAATGCAGGTCTCTCATAAGGCACAACCTGCAGAAAATATGGCAGCAGTTTAGGAGTATCCAGCTTTGTCAACCATTATAAGAAAACCTTGTCAGCAAGTTCAGCACATCATTTGAAAGATCAAAAGAGTGATCAAAATTTGTTAGTTAAGCCTAAAACTTAAAAAAAAAAATCTGAGAATTAGTCTAACCATGTGAATATGAATTACGTGCTGCCCGCAGTTAACAGTTTGTCCATTCATCTGAGATTTCAACCAAAAAAAATGCAAATTTTTTAACCTACTTGGTTGAACCATGAATACATGTAAGGTGATTGAAGGCCACTGGCTACTACTTTTCTTAGTGACTCAACTATTTCTGCAACAAATACACACAACAATGGCTTTTAAATCTGTCGTCAGTAACAATTATAACTTTTTCGTAAGTCAGTCTCTCTCTCTCTCCATTTAAAATGAATTGGAATTTGGAAATAAAACACGCTATGCAGTTCTACAGAGAGCAGAGTGTTGATTGAACTGATACAGAAGTTTAGACATTGAATTGATTACAACGGCATCTAAATTTTATAAAAGCAGAGCTAGCACTAACAAATTTGGTCAGAATTTCTCACAAACCTAATTGCAAAAATAAATTCCAAATACCTTTTCAAAAAAGGGCAAGATCCAAATTCAGAAGAAATAATATCTAGGAAACCCAAGTCAAATGGAACTAAGAATTGGGCAAAACAACCTAATCAAAACAGAAAGGAAGAATAAAAAAAAAGGACGCCGGCCGAGTTGAATATACTAATGCAACGTCCTGTTTGAAATTTGAACAGCTCATAGCAATGTCAAGCTCTAAATCCATCAAATTCTATCTCTGAACCGAGTTCAGAATATGATGAAGTAATTAACTAACCAATAAAAGCATAGAACACAAGAGAAAAGAATCCAATAGCGGAAAAAGGAAAACAAATGATAAAATATGCATACAGAGAGAAAGAGAGAGAGGAGTAATATACAGCTTCTTCAGAGATGATGCAGAGTTCACCATGAGAGACACCTTTCTTGACGAATTCAAGAGCTGCATATCCAGCTGCGACTCCTCCCCCAAGTATCACGTACACAAACGCTCTTCCCATTCCCCGCTCTTCTCTCTCCAAATAAACAGCGTTCCTCTCTCTTGAATTTCTTGGGATTATACTCAGCTCCGAGTCCAGTTCGAATCGGAGAAATAATAGAGATCATTCATTTTTAATCCTTCGGCCCAAGTCCCATTATTTCTTCCTTTGTGGGCCGGTTGACAGGATGATGACATTTTTGCACCTTTTACTACCATGCCCCTCTCTCTCTCTCTCTCTCTCTCTCTCTCTCTCTCTCTCTCTCTCTCTCTCTCTCTCTCTCTCAAAAAAAAAAAAAAGAATTTAGAATAAGATTCAATGAGATTAAAGGAATAATCTAATAAATTGAAACTTTTAATATTGACATTAATAAATTAAAATTAATTTAATTGATATTTATTTAATTTTGTTAAGTTCTATTAATATGTGAGATCGAGCATTAATTCAATTTGAAGCAATTCGCATAACAAATGAGATCAAAATCCAGAAGAGCGTGTAGATTTACATTGCACTTTCGCTTTGCATTTATAAGATTTATTGCTCTAACTCTATTTATTCAAACCTTAAAATAACGTAATTACTTATTATAACATTGGGTTTGATACCATAAAAATATTTAATAACATCAACAAAATTAAATTTTTGTTAATTTTTAGAGATGATTCAGTAATTAAATTTATCTTTTTATAAGTAAGATGTCTCATCTTTCGATATTTTTTACACTCTTTAAAGTTCGCTGATACTTATTCTTTAGGAGACATATCATTAAAATTAGTCTAAGCCCGCTTATATGTTTGCCCCATTACTCGTGACTCGTGAGTGTTGACAAGATAGTATGTGGATATGCTTGCATTGGGATTGTGAGAGGTGATGAAAAAAATAAAAAAGTCGGGTTGGTTCATTGTCTGGAGGGTTGATTGTGTCAGAGCCAACTGGTTTTGGTAGCACCTCGTTCAACTGAATTGTGGATGAGGTTTCACATCTCCACCACATATGATTTTTTTTCTGTTTAACTCCCACAATACATGAGAAATTGTATGGATGTGTTTTGTTTTCAAGTTATCCTCCTTTTCTCCTCTTGTTGAGTTTGTTCCTTTTTTATTTGTTTCTTTTTTCTCCTAATGCTTTTATATTTTTTTTATTATAAAGTATTTACACATGTACCGACTAATTTTTTAAATTCAACGACTGATTATTACGATTTGAACTAAGTTAGAACATCACCCATTAGGCTAATGCTTAAAGTTTATGCTTTTTTTATTAGTAATAATATATATATATATATTTTATGAAATTAGTTATTTGTTAAAAGAATACTTACAAGAAACATTAGCAAATGTTACATCATTTTTTTTTCACAATTTTAACTTGAATTGAATCTTTCGTTGCTACAATGTGAATAACTACCAAAGTCGGTCTTTAACTACAACATGAGTGGTATACATTGTTATAAGTTGAACATGTTATATCGAATTTATATTGTAATTCATGATAATTGTTAAAAGTGGCACCCCTAAGTTTGATTGTCTTGTGTTTCGTGGAGATAAAAAAAATGTGATTTTAAATTGTCAATGGTTGTGATATCCTTGTAATATAATGAATTTGTTTGAAGCTAGTTTTTCTTTTTTTTTTGGTCGTGTGTTTGGGGTTACCTTAAATAAATAATTTTTAAGGGTTTTAGAGTAAATTAAATCAAGTTTGTTTAGACCTTAGCTTTCTTACCAATTTATGCAGCATTTTTTGGATCTAAAAAGATTTATTTATGCTAATTTAACAAGTTGATTTTATAAACTTTTCTTTCGATTTTTTAGAGTTTTGTCATGAATTTTATATAACTTTTTAATTTATTGTATTAATAAAATAGTAGTATTATTATTATTTTTAAAGAAAAAGGAAAGCTTTATTAAAACCTCAAAAATTACAAAGCAAGGGGGGGGGGGGGGGGAGAGACATTCCATCCTTACCCCTAACCAAAAAACAAGAATTACAAATGACAAATCAAAAATAAAGGAATCAAAGAATTATCAAACATTGTTAGTGGCATAAAAAATTTTGAAATTTATATTTTGAAAATTATAATGCATAATCTAAACATATATGTAATTATTTTTTATTTTAAAATAAAAAAAACTAAAAAATCACTCTAAATAAACTTTTTTAGTTTTTATAGAACACCACATATAATCTTTAGGAGATTTGTTTAACTCTGACTCTTTTACAATATTTTTCATATCGTAATTTCTTACCTAAAAAATCAGCTCGAATTATGGCCAATATTACAAACACTAGGAAGGCATGGGCCAGTTGCTTCTAAGTAATACATTGCTTAAGAAAAGCTTTCTAGTGCCACTATTTTCAACTATGCTTAGATCTTGTAGAATGAAATAAAATAAAATACAAAGTTGACTTGACTCATAAACAAACCTGGCTTACACAAGTATGTTGAAACTTTGGAATTTTTTATTTAAAGAATTGCTTGATTTGGTTTTTCCACCAAAATTTATTTTACTTAGAAGCTAAATAAAGAAAAAGTGTATGTAATAACTATTTCTTCAAACATAGTTTATTCGAATCTTGATATACAAGTTATATATATAAACTTGTGGGTTGAACAAGAAAAGTATTTTGCCTATAGCAGAACCAGCCCAACAGTATAGGAATTGAAGGAGGGGGGTTTTAGGCCTCACCCATGAAGGAAGGCCCCAAATTTCATATCCTTAAAGTATGATCTAACTAAAAAATTTTAACCATAAAAATAAGGATTTTTTGGGTGTAGGTACAATCTTTTAGACTTATTTGAGCAAAAGTGTATGGATAAGCTGTTTATTTTATAAAATTTTTTGTGTTTAAGTACAAAATTCAAAATGAATTAAAATTATTTTTACCTAAATATTTTTCCTTAATTTGTACAGTTATTATTGACAATTATTTAAAGAAACAAATATGTAAAGATTAACAAAAGTAATAAGAGGTAAAATATGAGTTTACAGAGAGCGAAAAAGCAAAAACAGTGGTATTTTGTGTTAGAAGATAAAAATGAAAGAGTATAGATGCAAAGTATAAATGAAACAAACTCACTCACACACACACACACACACACACACACACATATATATAAACACTAAAAAATCCTAACCAACTAAGAAATGGTAAATCGGGTTGGGCCCAAGAGTCCAACTCATTATTTGAAATTAAAACAATTAAGTTTACCAAAAAAAAATCTACAAGTTCGTTTCAAGTTAAGTATATCACTCTTTTTCAAAATATACAAATGTTTATCTACTATCGATGGTCTAGATTAGTTTTTAGACTTAAATATTTTAACAAAAATTTTATAAACAAAAAGAAAACATTCTACTTGAAATACTAAATTATATGAAAATAATAAAAAAAATTTAAATGTATTTTTTTATAGAATATTATTGACATGCTATAACATTTTCTTTTACATATGAAAGATTTTCAAAATTAAACTAATGAAATTCTCTATCAAATCGAGTATATATAAGAAAGGCGGATTTATATCAACCTCATTATTTTTTCACACAATTTTAGTCAATAGTAGATTACTCACCGTGTACGGGTGAATGGTCCACATAATGGGTCTCACGTGAACACATGATATGTGATATACTATTTAGTGAAATTGAGTGAAAAAATAATAGAGAGGATCTCAATCCAAGAAAGACTAAATGAATTAATTATTCAGTCAATCAAAAAAATATGTTAGCCAAACTTAATAAAAAATGTAATAACAAAATTTCATCTCAAAAGACAAAAAAAAAAGATTTAAATTATTTTTTAAAAATAAAAAACCTATTTAATATTAGTTGCTTTAGGCCTCCAATTATATCGGCCGTCCCCGGCCAAACTTAAAACAAATGTTACATTTTTAACTTATATTTGTTGCTTATATTTAAAAAAAACAAATAATACGTCATTAAAATGGTTGAATTTTAAGCCCACCGGAATTTAGTATGATAACTCAGCCCAGAAATAATAGATTGTTAGTTGAATTTGGAAAGGGCCAAGCCCACCTTAAACCGGGTCATGATGGACGATCATGTTAACCCGTGCATGGGTCACTTTGCCTTGGATAAAAGGTTAAATGAAAGATTTTTTTGGTTGTGAGTACAATTTTTTAAATTTATTTGAGGAAAAGTATATGAATAAATTGTTTATTCTATTAAGTTCAATTTTAATAAAACATATTGTGTTTAGGTACTAAATTCAAATGAAATCAAAATTGTTTTACTTAAATACCCTCCCTAAAATTATGCATTATTGATTGACAGTTATATATCTAATTAACTATGTAAAGATTCCATTAGACTCTCTCACTATATCTCTCCCTATTTTCTCTCCATCTCTCTCTCTCTCCCTCCCCATTACTTTCCCCTAATTTCTCTCTATATCTATCATTCATTTGATAATTTATTTTCTTTTTAAATATGTAAAAATTTGATTTATTTTTTATCTGTCTCCCCTGTTTTTCTCTTTCTCCCCCCTATTTTCTCTAATTGTTTCTCTCCCTCTCCCTATATTTTTTCTCCCTCTCTATTTATATCAACATTACAACAACAAAATTACACTAATCAGTTACAATTGTCTTATAAATACACCAACAGTTAATCATGCGTTTTAATAAACCAAACATTATACAAATTTATAACACTAACCCAAAATTTCTTTTAGTTGTTTACATAAACTAAATAATTGTACTATTTAGTATCACAACATCTTTACATCAATTATATAACTAAATTTAGTATAATGGTAAAGTCTTTTGTGTAATGATAAACTCAATTTGATGTATATAATTAGTGTAACCATGATGTGATACTAAATGGTGTAACTCTTTAATTTATATAAATAACTGAATGACAAATTGAGTTGGTATTGTAATTTCGTATAATTGTTAAGTGTAATTGTTTGATTTATTAGAATACATAAATAATTGTTGTGGTGTATTATAGGGTACTTGTAACTTATTAG